GCTGCTCCGGCTGCTGCCTCTGCTGGTCTGGGAGGGGGACGGGGCGGAGCGGCCCGCTTTCAACCCCGCGCACCCTCCGACCCCGGAAGCGCTAACCGCCCCGGGGGCCGGCGAGGCGACCGCGTCGCCCAAACCTTCCCCACGCAATGCGGACGCCCTCCCAACAGCCTAGAGCGGCTCCATGGACAGCGTCGGCACCAATGAGACAACACCTGGTAGCGAATGGCCAAGCCTTAAGATAGAGCGGCAGCGTGGGGACAGGGAAGAAGCTAGTGGCCCCTAGCGGGCTGATTGGAAAGATCAGGCGTGAGTGCGGAGAGAGTTGGCAGTCGCCATGGATAAAGGAGACAAGAGGGAAAAGGGATGGGTGAGAAGAAAAGAAACGGGAAAAACCCAGTAGTCTATAGTAATACTCATAAAAAAATAAAAGAAAGAAAGAAAGATAAAAAACCTAATTTGCCACATTGAAGGCAACTTTTACACCAACTCCTTACTCTGAAAATTAGTGATCAAAAGGAAAGAATTAAGCATTTACTCCTCTTAGGAAGAACTGTAGTTCATCCGTTAAAGGAAAACTCTTCTTTAAAAGATTTCCATCTAATAAATGTAAAAAGAATGAAAGAGTTAGAAAATCACCATCCATTCTGCAATCCAAAATGAAATAATTCATTCAGGCCGGTGGCATCAGTCATCAAAACTTTAAGTGAAAGGTTGATGGGGGAGAGGATATTATCATAGGGTCAAATATCACCACACACATTACTGGCAAATTGCACAGGAAAAAAAAAAAGGTAATCTAAAATGGAGAGATCTGATAATCACCACCGTACCCAAGTGATCAAATGTTGCAACACTAATAGCAGGACAAGTTTGACATTATGTGGTCCCTGATGAGATAAAATAAATACATAGCATTGTCTATTAAGTATTCTTGTCAGAAGTGTTTAATCTTAATCTTATCAACCTTTAGACCTAATTTGCAGTGTACAGGAAATTTATGAGGGATAAAGGAATAAGTTAAATACATCACACTGCAGGGAGATCATCAACAAACTCAGAATGTGGGATAGTCTGCAAAACAACTACTCCAGGGGGCACCTGGGTGGCACAGTTGGTTAAGCAGCCAGCTGGATTTTGGCTCAGGTCATGATCTCAGGGTGTGTGAGATGGAGCCCAGGTAGGGCTCCGCACTCAGCGGGGAGTCTGCTTGAGATTCTCTCTCTCCCTCTGCCCCTTCCTGCTTCTCAAATAAATAAATCTTAAAAAAAAAAAAAAAAGACATCTACCCCAGTCTCTTTAAATTTTTTTTAAGATTTAATTTATTTAAGGGGTGCCTGGATGGCTCAGTCAGTTAAGCAACTGCCTTTGGCGCAGGTCATGATCCCAGCGTCCTGGGATCGAACCCCGCATCAGGCAGCCTGCTCAGCGGGAAGCCTGCTTCTCCCTCTCCCTCTGCCCCTGCTTGTGTTCGCTCTCTCGCTGTGTCTCTCTGTCAAATAAATAAATAAAATCTTTAAAAAAATAAATAAAACTTTTTGTAAAAAACAAAACAAAACAACAAAAAACTCAGAAGAGCTCTGGCAGGGAATAAGACAAAATAAGGAGAAGGAAATTAAGAGAAAGCAAATACAGGGTTATTTATTGAGCCTTGTTCAAGTCCTTTAGGTGTCAGTTCTGGCCTTAATATTATTAAGTTTTATTGGGTAACCCCAATTCAGTGGAGTCATCTGAAGAGGAACAGCTTCCGGAAGTGAAAAATACAGCTTGGGGATTCCAGTTCCCTGGTGTGGGGGTGTTGTATTAGAAACAATTTGAGATAGAAATAAAAAGAAGTCTGTCATTGGCAAAGGCAAGGAGCAGACCAAATACTGAAAGAGAGGAAAGGAAATTAAGAAAATGTTGGGTGGGAAAAAAAAACTAACACTTCAAAAAAAATTTATTTTTAAGATTATATTTATTTATTTGACACAGAGAGAGCACAAGCAGGCAGCGAAGCAGGGAGAGGGAGAGGGAGAAACAGGCTCCCCGAAGAGCAGAGAGCCCAACGTGGGCCTCCATCCCAGGACCCTGGGATCATGACCTAGACCAAAGGCAGATACTTAACCAACTGAGCCACCAAAGCACCCTCAAAAAAAATGTGTTAACTTTTATTCATTTAAGTAATCTCTACACCCAACACGGGGCTCGAACTCACAACCCTGAGATCAAGAGTTGCATGCTCGGGGCGCCTGGGTGGCTCAGTTGGTTAAGCGACTGCCTTCGGCTCAGGTCATGATCCTGGAGTCCCGGGATCGAGTCCCACGTC